GTTGTGACCTTATTTGAAAATGGGGTTGTTGTAGATGTAATTAGTTAAGTTAGAATGAAGTCATACTGAGTAGGGTTGACCCCCTAACCCAATATGACCGATGTCCTTATAAAAAGTGGAAATTTGGACACAGACATGGACACAGGAAGGACGCCTTGTGCAGATAAAGGCAAAGATCAGGGAGATGCAGCAGAAGCCAAAGATTCCTGCAGACCACCAAAGCCAGGAGAGAGGCCTGGGACAGGTTCTGCCTCACAGTTCTCAGAAGGAACCAACTCTGTTGACAACTTGATCTTGGACTTCTGGCCTTCAGAGCATAAGACACTACATTTCTGTTGTCTTAGCCACCCAGTTTGTGGTGCTTTGTTACAGCAGCCCTAACCAACCACTACACCCCGCTGGCAAAGTCTGGATTTCACCAGGGTTACGAGACTGTCACCTGCAGATGAGAGAGGGGACACTGAGTAGAATTGTCTGGCTTTGCTGAATGAGCCAGAGAGCAGGGCACACACCCTACCCAGGCAGCTGAAGGATTGGCAACACCTCCCACTGAATGGGAAAGCCTTCGAAGCGCTCCCAGGAAAAGCAGTTGAAATACAATCAGACAGGAACAGTATTCTGTCTCGTACACACATTCACTTACACACTGCATGTCAGTAGAGGATGCTAATCTCTCCAAGTGATCTTCTGTGCCTAACCAGTTGTGCATGGTTTCTGGCTTAGAGACCCCTCATCAGCCTTCTTGTGAGCTGAGGAGAGGTTCTGTTAAGATAGATCTTTCTTGCAAAATACCCTCTATCCCTTTCTTTTCATTTGAAAAAATGCTGCTATCACTTCAAACCCAAGCTCAGATATCTTCGCTGTGAAGGCTGCTCAAATCCTGTCAGAGCAAATCTGGGCTTCTCTAGGAAACGTTCATTATGTTAGAATGACATTTATCATCATGCTATCGTTTTCAGTCATACACGTGTCTGTTGCCTTCCCTTGAAAATGAGCCTCTTGAGGATAATGTCAGTATTGTGTTTGTCTGCATAAACCCAGCGCTTAGCACAGTGTCTGGTATGCATTGGACATTTGGGAAACGTTTGCTGAATTGAACCGAAGGACAAAACAATGTGCCTCTGAGAAGACATACCTTTTAAATAGAAATGAGAGGGCAGTTGAACTCTGAAGCCCTGGCTATCTTCCTGTAAAGGTTTAGCCAAACCCCAATCTAAAGCATTCAGTGGTGAGCTTGTAGGCAGCTGTATAAATTGCTGGCTTTGACTAGTACATAAACATCATGTTACACTGAAGAGCAAGGAAAAGCCAGTCAGGCATGGGCTGTGAGTACCACACATACACATGCACACACACATGCTTCTAAGGATGGGCAGACCTCACTGGAGCACACTTCACAAAATTTAAGGAGAAGGAAGCACAGATGGGTTGCTTCAAAAGGTGAGTGAGGTTTTAGTTGATTTTCCAGTCCCCTCTAGCACTATTTCATGGCTCAGAAAACAAACATTTTAGGAGTTCACCTGGCTTCAGTCATGGCTAAAACAATATTTTCAAGAATGTGTCTTTTTTTTTTAAATCCTCACCTGAGGATATGCTTATTGATTTTTTAAAATTAAATCTTTATTGTTCAGATTATTACAGTTGTTCCTCTTTTTTCCCCCCATAGCTCCCCTCTACCCGGTTCCCCCCCCCCACCCTCTGCCCTCACCCCCCCTCCCCACTGTCCTCATCCATAGGTGCACGATTTTTGTCCAGTCTCTTCGCGCATCCCCCACACCCCTTTCCCCCCCAAGAATAGTCAGTCCACTCTCTTTCTATGCCCCTGATTCTATTATAATAACCAGTTTATTCTGTTCATATTATTTATTCACTTGATTCTTAGATTCACTTGTTGATAGATGTGTATTTGTTGTTCATAATTTGTATCTTTACCTTTTTCTTCTTCTTCCTCTTCTTAAAGGATACCTTTCAGCATTTCATATAGTACTGGTTTGGTGGTGATGAACTCCTTTAGCTTTTTCTTATCTGTGAAGCTCTTTATCTGGCCTTCAATTCTGAATGATAGCTTTGCTGGGTAAAGTAATCTTGGTTGTAGGTTCTTGGTATTCATCACTTTGAATATTTCTTTCCACTCCCTTCTGGCCTGCATAGTTTCTATTGAGAAATCAGCTGACAGTCATATGGGTACTCCCTTGTAGGTAACTGACTTTTTTTCTCTTGCTGCTTTTAAGATTCTCTCTTTGTCTTTTGCTCTTGGCATTTTAATTATGATATGGTCCTCTTTGGATTCCTTTGTTTGGGGTTCTCCGTGCTTCCTGGACTTGTAAGTCTATTTCTTTCACCAAGTAGGGGAAGTTTTCTGTCATTATTTCTTCAAATAGGTTTTCAATATCTTGCTCGCTCTCTTCTTCTGGCACCCCTATAATTCTGATGTTGGTACACTTGAAGCTGTCCCAGAGGCTCCTTACACTATCTTCGTATTTTTGGATTCTTTTTTCATTTTGCTTTTCCGGTTGGGTGTTTTTTGTTTCTTCGTATTTCAAATCTTTGACTTGATTCTTGCAATCCTCTAGTCTGCTGTTGGAACTTTGAATAATATTCTTTATTTCAGTCAGTGTATGCTTAATTTCTAGTTGGTCCTTTTTCATAACCTCGAGGGTCTCACTAGATTTCTTGAGGGTCTCACTACATTTATCGGCAGTCTCACCAGTCTTTTTGAGGGTCTTACTAAATTTATCGGTGGTTTCTAGAAAGTTCTTGAAAAACCTTAAAAGTGTGGTTTTGAACTCTATATCCAGTCATTTGCGTTCCTCCATTTCTGTCATTTGTGACCTGTTTCTTTGTCTCCGCTTTTTTTATGCTTCCCTGTGTTGGTAGAGTGGCTTTGTGTGCTAGGTGTCCTATAGGGCCCAGTGGCTCAGCCTCCCCAATTACCTGAGGTGGACACTCTTGGTGCATCCCTTTGTGGGCTTTGTGCACAGTCTTGTTGTAGTTAAGCCTTGATTGTTGTAGGTATCACTGGGAGGAATTGACCTCCAGGTCAATTGGCTGTGAGAATCAGCAGTGTCTATGGTGGGAGAACTTCTGTGCTGAAGACACCCTTATGAGACAAGACTTGCTTCAGTGGGGCTTTGGTGCTCACTGAGTCTGACCCCTGAGTGTGTCCCTTATGGATCTGAGGAGTTGTAATTGGATGGTCCCACTCTGACCACTGGGTACAATGGCTCTTGGATCTAAGGAGGTGCTAATTTAGCCTCTGCCTGAGGCTACCCAGCAGGAGCTACGAGGAGATCTGAAGATTCCCCTTCCTTGTTTGGGGTTTTGAGGTGCCCAAATGAGGCCCAGCTGTGAAGCAATGCAAGCTGCTGTGGAGCCTTGGGCCTTCTCTTGGAAGTTCTGGGTCTGTCTGGCCCAGCTGCAGTTTGTTAGGTAATTTTCAGATTGCAAAGGGCCAGGGCATTCATATGCAAAAGCCTCTGCCACAGCTTGGGTGGGGTGGGGTCTCAGAGAATCAACAGGGCGGAGCAAGCAGCTATGGCTGATCCTCAGCCCTGCCCTAAGGGGCCCCGCATCTCAGTGTCCCGGTAATCGCTGCAAGCACCTTTGAGAGAAAGCGGCCCTTGAGTTCCAAGTTCTGCCTGCTGCCAGACAGTCCAGTTTCTCCCCATATGAGTCTAGGTCCCCAGAGACTTACCCGGAACTGGAATTCAGAGCAGTCGGGGGCTTGTGACTCTCTCCTGATTCAAAAAGACAGCCTCGTCCTCAGTTGCCAGCCCTTGCCACTTGCGCCTCCGTAGCTCTGCACTTCCACACTTCCTCTGAGTCTCAGTGTGCTTTTCTCTTTCCTTCTAGTTGTAGAGTTTCCATGCAGCCAGCCTTCCTGTAGTTCTGGATGATGTCCGTTTTGTCTTTTAGTTGTATTTTTTAATTTGTTGGTGGAGACAGCAATTTCCGGTATTTACCTATGCCGCCATCTTGGTTTTCCTCTGCTTATTGATTTTAGAAAAAGAGAAAGGGTGCCCTAACCAGTTTGGCTCAGTGGATAGAGCGTTGGCCTGCTGACTGAAGGGTCGCAGGTTCAATTCCGGTCAAGGGCATGTACGTTGGTTTCAGGCACATCCCCAGTAGGGGGTGTGCAGGAAGCAGCTGATAGATGTTTCTCTCTCATCGATGTTTCTGACTCTCTATTGCTCTCCCTTCCTCTCTGTAAAAAATCAATAAAATATATTTACAAAATAAAAAGAAAGAAAGAAAAAGAGAAAGGGAGAGAGAGAAAGGGAGAGAGAGAGAGAGACAACCATTGATTCGTTGCCTCTGGCACATGCCCCAGGGATCAAATCTACAACATAAGTACGTGCCCTGACCTTAAACCTGCAACCTTTCGGTTTATGGAACAGCGCTCCTACCAAATAAGCCACATTGGCCAGGGCAAGAATGTGTGTTTGTCTATCTTTCCTTTCTGCTGTCCTTTGAGTTGGCTTTATTTTGAAACATTTCTTCCAATGTGGAGCCTGTCAGGCTCAGCTTACCAGGTTCAGAACATAAGCTGTGCAGCCGGCTGTGGCTGCCCTGGCTCCAGTCTCACCCTGGACCAAGACACCTGCACCACAGACAGAACCCCTCCCTCTCCCCCCAGCATTCCAGCCAAGTTCTGCTTGTTATGCTCATGGCCTCTGCGTGAGTCACTTATCTCCTCTGAGCAGTCACTGTGGCCCTGAGATGCCAGCGCTCTCAGCAGCCCAGCCTGGGTCAGGCATCCACTCCCACAGCAGCAGCAGAGGCCCAGTGTAATATGGAAACAGCAGAGCACAGTTCAGATGCATAACAGGAGAACAACAGACTACCCTATATAATAAAAGGCTAATATGAAAATTTTCCCCCATGGGCAGGAGTTCAACCGACCAGGAGTTAGACGTGTGCTGACCACGAGGGGCAGCATGGAACATGGCGGGTGTTGGTGACGCAGCGCTGGCAGCGGGCAGCAGTGGAGGCGCTGCCAGCCCTGATGGGCCCTGACGAGAGTGAAACCACAGCGGGATGGTGGAGCAGGTGAGCAGGCGGCGCCAGGCCAAGGCAGGTGCGGGGGGGTGGGGGGGTCCTGATCGCCCTACCAGTCACCCCACAGATCGGCCCTGGTCACCTGCCAGGCCAAGGGACCCTACCTGTGCACAAATTTTATGTACCAGGCCTCTAGTTGTAAATAGTTCTGCAGTGAATAGATGGGTGCGCATGTCTTTTCAAATTAGCATTTTGTATTTCTTCAGAATTGCCAGGTCCTTCTTTGTAACATTTGCTTTTTGTATGAGATTTTGGAAAGGGTGCCCTAGAAGCACACCTAACTTTACTGAGCCTCATTTTTATTATGTGTAGAAAGGAGATAGTAATACTTTAATCCTAGCGTTCTCAGGAAGATTAAATAATGTGATATCTATAATAATAAAAGCGTAAAGTGTTTATTCACTTTAAACTAAATTAAGTATTGGGTATCACCATAGGCAAGGTCCTGTCCTGGACCACAGCATACAGTCCATTCATTCTTCAAGAATTTGAGGTATGATTATCTTCAATTTATATAACTTGCCTAAGATCAGACACTTAAAAAATGGCAGAACCCACATTAGCTCTCAGGTTTGTATAACTCCATGTCCTTTATTTTTTTAAGAAAAATAGTAAACTTTATTTTTTTAATATTTGAACCTTTAAGTTCACAGATTTCTAACTCGTGCATTTGGGATTAGTAAGTCACTTTTGGTTCTGAAAGCTATTTGTTTTACCTCTGGGTTTTTACAAAAAAAAAAAAAAAGAAAGAAAGAAAAAAGAAATGAAGCCAAGAAATTTAAAAGCGATTGGGAAAGATAAAACACTGTTTGTGTTAATTATTTAAAAATGCAGGCCATTTGGTTCCTAGGAGAGAACATTCCTAGGAGAGAACAAAAGCAGCTGGGGCCAACTTGAAAAGGAAACTGCACGCAGACCTCCTTGGGGATAAGAGCACAGTGGTCGGGAGGAGGAAGTGCAGCCTGGCCAGGGAGAACGGTGAGTCATGGTCCGGGCAGTTGCCTCTAAAACCCTCGAGAGAAAATATTCTCTGTGGAGTCTGGCAAGAGAGCAGATGGGAATTTCCTAATCTCGGTGGAGAAACGGGGGGGGGGGGGGGGGGGCGGGGGGGGCAGTCCTGTTCCGAATGGGGGTGGAAGGGAAACGAAGTGCTCGGGTGAGGAGAGTCCCTCCTGCCGAAGGAGCTCAGGAAGAGCCTCTCGCTCCCTCTCTCAGTCACTGTATTCGTGCCGGCAGGTGGATGAAAGGAACACTTGGGAGCTGGCCGATGCCTACAGGTAGCTGAGAGTGTGCTCTCTGTTCTTTACCAACTGTAGGCTTGGCAATGGAAATATACTTGACTTTACTGAGGCTCATTTTTACTATGTGTAGAAAGGAGATAGTAATACTTTAATCCCAGGGTTCTCAGGAAGATTAAATAATACGGTATCTATAATAATAAAAGCATAATATGCTAATTAGACCATATGGCTGAACAGCAGAACAACCGTCCAGATGACCTTCCAGATGAAGCCGGGCGCCGCAGGTGCGGAATTTCGTGCATTGGGCCTCTAGTATAATTATAACACACTTAGCAGAGTCCCTTGCAGAACGTATGTCCTTAAGAAATGTAGCTGTGGGGTTTGCATTATGCTACGATCGCAAATATTTGTACTATGAAGATATGGCTTAAAATAGTTGCTTTGATGATTCCTCGAAATTTTAATGTAGAATTATCATAGGATCCTGACATTTCACTTCTGGATGTAGACCTAAAAAAAGTGAGATCTGGAACTCAAACAGGGATTCTTACACCTATAGCCATAGCAGCATTATTTACAATAGCCAAAATATGGAAGCAACTCAAATGTCCATCAATGGATAAAATGTAATATACATGTACAATGGAATATTATGCAGCCTAAGAAAAAAGGAGGACATTTTTACACATGCTACAACATGGATGACACTTGATGAAATTATGGTAAGTGAAATAAGCCAGTCACAAAGGGACAAATGCTACATGATTTCACTTATGTGAGGTACATAGAATGGTTAAATACATAGAGACAGAAAGTAGAGTGGTGGTTTCCAGGGGTTGGAGGGAGGGGGAAATGTGTGCAAAACCTCAGTTGGGGAAGATAAAGATATTCTGGAGATGGATGGTGGTGATGGTTGTACAAATGTGCAATGTACTTAATTCCACACAACTGTACACTTAAAAATGGTTAAAATGTTGAATTTGCTGTTACATATATTTTACTACAATATAAAAAATAGTTTCCTTGTGCACTGGGCTTTGTATTCTACCATTTGAAATGCAGCTGGTGCCGGTGTGCAATGTATAAAGTGCTCTGGGCTTTTTTCATAGTTTTAGCACATGACAATGTTGATCAATTTCTTGGGCAACTTCTTACAATATGAAAAACTATTGTAAATGTGACCATAACCTCTAACAATCCAACTGCTGACAATGATTAACTTCAACCATAAGATAATATTTTTCTTCCTAAGGGTCTATCGATTTAATTTTATCTTGGAATTTTATAAAGAAACTAGAGGCCTGGTGCACAAAATTCGTGCAAGGGGCTCATCCCTCTCAGCCCCGGCTTGGTCCGGAAGGTCATTCGGAAGGACATCCGGAAGATTATTTCGCTGTCTGGCCTAATTAGCATATTATGCTTTTATTATTATAGATCTTAGGACATCAAAAAATATGTTGATTCTGAACATAAGATACTTTGATTTCATTTTATGTATAGGTAGATAGAGAGATAGATAGAGAGAAAGAGATAGATAGCTGGATATAGAGTTTTAATGAAGTATAATGGGCATATAGTAAACTGCACATACTTAAAGTTAACACTTTGATAAGTTTTGACGTATGTGTACACATCTGAAACCATCAGCACAATCAAGATAGTGAACATATTCATATTCTGTCAAAAGTGGCCTTGCGTCCCTTTATAATTTCTCTCTCCAACTCATTCCTCACTACCACTGTCCCTAACCCCAGGTAACCACTGATCTGCTTTCTGTCATTATAGTCTAGTTTTTCTTTCTAGAATTTTATATAAATGGGACAATACAGAATGTACACTTTTTTTTATCTGTTTGCTTATATTCAGCATAATTATTTCAAGACTCATCCACGTCATTGTGTGTATCGGGGATTCATTTCTTTTTATTACTGAATAATATTTCATTACATAAATGTATGACAATTGCTTTAATTATTCTGTGATGGACATTTGAGTTGTTTCCAACTTGGGGATATAACAAATAAAGTTCCTACAAAGATTCATATACAAGTCTGTGCATGAGAATCTGCTTTACTTTTTCTCTCTCTTTTGGGTAAATAACCAAGTGGCCAGGTCACATAGAAGGCGTAGTTTACCTTTTTAAGAAATTGCAAGAGTTTTCCAAAGTGGTTGTAATATGTTTTATTTCCAACTGTATCAAAGTTTCAGTTGCTTCACATCCTTGCCAATGCCTGATATGATCAGTCTTTTTAACTTTAGCCATCCTAATATGCCTGTAGTGATATCTCACTGTGGTTTTAACTTGAATTTCCTTAATGACTAATAATGGTGATCATATTCTCCTGTCCTATTAGCCATCTGTGTATCTTCATTGGTGAGGTGTGTGTTCAGATCTTTTGTCCACCTTTCATTGGGTTGTTTTGTCATTATTGAGTTTTGAGAGTTCTTTATGTATTGACATAAGTCCTTTGTGAGATATGTGCCTTCCAAATATATTCTCCCAGTCTATGACATGTCTTTTCATTTTCTAAAGAGGGTCTTCTGAAGTGAGCTCCATTTTTTCTTGTTCCTAAGTTAATTGTTGGGGATATAGTTCAAATAATGCATTTTGGGTTTCCTACACCTACCCTACTCAGGGAATTATAAAGCAAAGCAGGGTCCTAACCGGTTTGGCTCAGTGGATAGAGCGTCGGCCTGCGGACTAAAGGGTCCTGGGTTCGATTCCGGTCAAGGGCATGTACCTGGGTTGCGGGCTCATCCCTGGTAGGGGGTGTGCAGGAGGCAGCTGATCGATGTTTCTCTCTCATCGATGTTTCTAACTCTCTATCCCTCTCCCTTCCTCTCTGTAAAAAATCAATAAAATATTTTTTTAAAAAAAATAATAAAGCAAAGCAGGAATTTTGAAACAGAATGCCAACTGAAGCAGAATTTGTTGATTTGGTGGTACGTATTTGATATGAACAAGTCTCTGGGGTGCTCCCCATCAAGTCAATTAACCAATTAAGTGATTAACTTGGTCCCACTAAAGTAGGAGAGAGTATGCTTCTGTGTTGGCAATTCTAGTCCAATCACAGAGTTTGATATTTTTAAACTAACTGTTCTAGGAGACTTTAGACAATTAAACTGATGCTTGAAAGTAACAGTTTACATTGAAAACAAAAGAATACATTTATAAAATAGTTAGATTTTTAGGCCCAATAAGCATTGGTACAACAGATTTAGAGACAATGCCTGCAATTGCCAAGGTCTGACTCTGGGTGCCATCCACCTTCCAATTCCACTGCCTACTGCTGGCTCTCTCTGTCTGTCTGCCTCCCAGCGAGGGGCCCTGCCTTCTCTGCTGGGTAGATCGCAGGTGTATCACATAGAAAACTCCACCAGGATGGCTGCTGTCCGTTCCCACGGAGCATTCCACTCCAGACCACCTGCTGAGTTACTTGCTCTCTTTTTCCTCCTCAGAAACACACACACACAAAAACAAGCCATTGGTGTTGTACTGTCTTTTGTGTGGCTACGCTACACCTACAACATTCGATATTTTTCTAAGCAATGAGTGCCCTCCTTGCAAGACATGCTGGTTCCAGAATAATTTAATCAATTACACCTTCATAAGCAGCTCTCCGTTTAGCATGTGCAAATACACATACACATACACTTATCCCCTACGGGTGAAGAACATACTCCTGGTATTCCGGATGGGTCGACATGCTCAGCTGTGGCACAATTACCTAGAGTCTCTCCTGTGTCCATCTGGGCCCCGCACACATGCAGAGCAGGCCTTTCCAGGGCTGCCCCAGCCTCTCGGTTTCTGGGCCAGTTCAGCTGCTTGGCCCAGAGGAGGCGGTGGGCAGTAGAAGCCCATTGCACAGACACTTCCTTAGCACTTCTTGTTCTAGCCTCCGCCTGTTCCCTTGCATTTCCATGTGCTAGTCCTGGCTTTGACTCCCAAGCAAAAGGGAGCACAGTGGGAGGTCATAAAGTATGAGGGGTTGGAGGGGAAGGGAAGGTTTAAGGGACCTTGGCTGGCTGGGGATTATGGCAGCAGGCCCACCAGGATGGCGCTTTGGGGTTCCACAGCCAGTGTGTTACCACCTGAAGTCAGAAGGGGGAGCCCCGAGTTCACTGTCTGCACAATACTTAGCGTCTCCGAAACTGCGACTGACAGTCTCACAGACTCTCGTAAAGGGAACTCGGACTTCGGTCTGCTCTAGGAGAACGTGCCTCGATACAAACACAGTCCCATGTGATTCTTCCCTTTGAACGTTTTTAGACCTGCACTCACTAGCTATGCGACCTTGGGCAGTCACTAAACCTCTCTGAGACTCAGTTTCCCGAGCTGTAAGTAGCCATAATGTAATTGTGCTGCCTGAGGGGTGCCTGTGAAGAGGACTCAACCCAATGGTATGCAGAGAGCTCAGCACACCACCTGGATGGCAACTGCTCGTACCAGGAACAAACAGTGCAAGGACCCAACGGGTTCAGCACAAACCAGAAACCCAGCCACGCTGGCCCTGTGCCAAAGAGCTCCCAGGACAACTTGGTGTTCCCACTGTGCGCCCTGGGAAAAGTCTGAGCCCTCTCCACCCCAGCTGAGTTCCCTTTCCCCCAGGCACCCTGTTGTTTCACTTGGCCTGAAACACGGGGCCGGGGGTGTGGCAGGGGGTGGGGGGGGCCTTCCTGGGACTGGCTCCAGGGAGTATGTGCATCCAGAGATGCAGAGCAGCAGGAAAATCAGGTAGAATTTTCCTGAAATTCTGTATAAACAAGGCAGGGGAGACCAGGAACAGACTTGCTTCTCTTTTATAAAAAGGGGCCAGGGGACCTAGCCAGATGGCCGGAATATAAAGCAGAGTTTTTCCTCTCTGTGGTTCTGTGCCCTGGGAACAGACAGAGACCACAACTCCCTTAAGAAACCCACAGACCGTCCGTGAAGAGTAAGGAACTTCTCCTTAATAGTGTGACAGAAGTGCCTGGGACTACTCGCCTGTGGGCTTGGTGGGAGGCACATAGATATGTTTAAACCCTACAGGGCTGGGGTGGTGAGCAGGGCATCCCCGGATAACAGGGATGAGTCTGGGGTGAACACTGACTGAGATATTCCTATGGTGAACCCGAGAGCCAGTCAAATTCTAACACTAGAGGGCCAGGGCCGGGTTGCAGAGCAGCAGTAGGGACCCCGGTTTGGTTCCACCTGCCTGCCTCTCCCGTTTACGTTCTACAGAGGCTCAAGCCACGTTTGTTCCCAACTAAGATACAGTCCCCCTTATTGTCTCTTACCTGTGGCTTCCTTGAGTTTTAAATTCCTTGAAGATGGGGGCCAGCACTATCTGCAGGCAGATTTCAGAAAGAACAGCTAATAGGTGCCCTGTCGTTTTTAACGTGGGTGGTTCTAGAAATCAAGTTGGAATACAAACTGCCATGTTGACTTTGTTTCAAAAAAAAATTTATTTTCCAAGGTAAAAGAATAAATAAATTAAAACAATAACTTAATATATAATTTAACATTTACAAGTCTTCAGCTGTCCCTTCAAAGGCAGTGCATTAGCTGTGAAGAGTTCCAGAGTCACTGGTTGAAGATGCCTGCAGTCACGGTCAGTGTAGTTCCTTCCCAGAGGTGCAGGCAGGGAGACCGTCAGTCCTGGAGCTCACCTATAAGTCCATTAAGGAAGAAAAAGTTCCTGAGGATTTCCACTTGGACTGCTGTCCAGGCACATCTGCTGTAGAACTTGGCCTTCAGGTACTGGAAGATGCCTAAGTAATAGGTCTTCAGGCGCAGCACCGTCCTGCTTTCCCAGGGGAACTTTCCCTCCTGCTTGATTTCTTCCAGGGCTGTCTCCAGGCGGTCCATCTGCTCATCGAGCTCCTCCAGAAGGTTCTCAACAATGGTCTCATTCCAGCCAGCGTTGGAGACATTTCTTCTGAAAATGCCGTGGATCTGCTGGAGCATCTCGTAGATGACCACCATGGCTTCCTCCTTCTGGAACTGCTGTGGTTGTTCAACCTGTTTGGGGATCTGGAAGTCCATCCTGTCGTCCAGGCAATGCTGAGGGCTTGTAATCAACTGCCACAGGAGATCCTGACAGGCTGAATTGCTGCTTCTCTGCTGGAAGCGGAGCTTGCCGTAGTTCACGGAGAGCGCGGCCCCGGTGAGACACAGCAGGACGGTGAGCTGGAGGGTGCACCTGTTGGTCATGATGGCGAGAGGAGCAGTGATGTCCGAGGCAGAGGCTGCGGGGCTTGCAGTGCCAATGCCTTCTCTCCAGGAGTTGGGCCTATTTATAAGGCCATCTTTCTAGTTCACAGGAAATTCCCAATTTCAGTTCTCCTTTCTGTTTTCTTTTGTCATTTACATTTTTCCTTGAGATTGTTTCAATTACAGTTGACATACAATATTATGGTAGTTTCAGGTGTATAATATAGTGATTAGACATTTGTTTATTGATTTTGTTTTTTAGATTCTACATATAAGTGAAATTATATGGTGTTTGTCTTTCTCTGTCTGACTTACTTCACTTAATATAACGCCTTCTATCTGAATCCACCCATGTTGTCACAAATGGCTAGATTTCATTTGTTTTCCTGGCTGAGTAATACTCCCTATTCACTCATATATGTATGGTCACTTGGATTATTTCCAAGTTTGGGCTCTTGTAAATGCTGCAGCAATAAAATACGGGAGTGATCTTTTTGAATTGGTGTTTTAGATTTTTTTAAATTAATACCCAGAAGTGGAATTGCTGGGTCATATGGTAGTTCTATTTTTTAAATTTTCAAGGAGCCTCCATACTGTTTTCCATAGTGGCTGTACCACTGTGGATTTATCCATAGTGGATTTATAAACCTGGAGCAACCCTGAGCTCCAGGCTTCCCATCGTCAATAGATGTCCTATCTTCTCATCTTTACAATCTTACCAACAGTATACAAGGAAGGGTTCCCCTTCTCCAAAACCTCACCAACTCTTATAGTTTGTTCATTTATTTATTTTTTATTTTTTTTTATTGCTTAAAGTATTACAAAGGGTATTACATATATGTCCTTTTTTTTTCCCCCACCCTTGACAATCCCCTGGCCTCCCTTACCCCCCAGTGTCTTATGTCCATTGGTTATGCTTATATGCATGCATACAAGTCCTTCGGTTGATCTCTTACCCCCCTCCCTCCTGCCCCCCAACCCTCCCCGGCCTTCCCGCTGCAGTTTGACAATCTGTTTGAGGCAGCTCTGCCTCTGTATCTATTATTGTTCAAAAGTTTATAATGGTCTTTATTATCCATGAATGAGTGAGATCATGTGGTATTTTTCCTTCATTGACTGGCTTATTTCACTTAGCATAATGCTTTCCAGTTCCATCCATGCCGTTGCAAATGGTGTTCATTTATTGTTCATAGTGATTCTGACAGGTGTGAGGTGATATCTCATTGCCCTTTTGATTTGCATTTCTCTGATGGTTAGTAATGTTGAGCATTATTTCATATGCTTGTTGGCCATCTGTAAATGGTCCTATCTCAATATTCCTGAGACCATTTTTTTTGTTAGACTGTAGTAACTAATTTTCATAAGAGGTATAATTTTTAAATCTAATTACAATTTTATATCATGCTTATATAATCAGGGAGACATGATATATTTTTAAATATTTTAATACAAACATAAAATTATAATAATAATTACGATATAAGGTACTAATTTTCAGTTTTCAGAAAAGCTTGCATTATTTTTCAACATGAATTCAAACCCCACTGCGTGCAAGAAACTATAGCATGAGCTGCTGCAGACTGTAATCCTTGCTCTCACAGATCATGCAATTAATGAGAGAAAAGAGTATTAAAGAAATGCACAAATGTAATACGCAACGGTGACAAGTGTTGTAGAGAAGAGGTCTGTGGTTGTGTAGGTTTCTATAATATGGGAACATGATGTAGTAGGAGAGGTCAGAGAAGAGTGACCTGAGGTAGTGACACTGGAGCTAAAATTAGAAGGAAGGTAGATGGACTGCCTGTGCAAAGGCCCTGTGGTCAGAGAATGCATGATAAGGGCAAAGGACAGGACTGAAGGCCACTGTGATTAACCTTCAAGTCAGAGACTGGTAAGATGAGTCCAGAGGGCAGGTGGGAGCCAGTTAGCAAAGGGATTGTGAGGCCATGTTAAGTTTTTCTGTATCCTAAGACCAGTGGAAGCCATAGAAGGGCTTTAGGTGAGTGGATTTGATTTGGTTTGGGAGATGGGGAAATATTCTCTCTACAGGAACCAATAAGTAATAGAGAGAAAAGAGAATAAGTACTAACAGAACAGTTTAGGGGATTTATCAGTATTTTAGACCAGGGAGCTCATGGTAGAGAAAGATGAATTCATTTATGTGAATTCTCTCATTTCCTGACCACCCAGATTCAAATGCTTGAAGAAATTCGCCATCATATTACAGATAGCTGCATCGGTTTTATTGGTTGTGATAATTTCAATATGGTTAAATATAGAGGGTCATTACTTCTATTTGTACCAAAGTGCAGTGGAGGCTGGAGTATGTGGGTCAGTGTGGATTTATAAACCTGGAGCAACCCTGAGCTCCAGGCTTCCCATCATCAATAGATGCCCTCTCTTCTCATCTTCACAATATGCTCAACATTATCTCCTGAATAGCCCTCCATTCCTATTCCTTCCTCTTCATTGGTTGTATGGGATCAGCTCTCCCCAGAAATAACCATCCATTGGTGATGTATGAGGTATTTCTTAAAACCTACCTGTGCTTGAATAGTGCTGATACAATGTCTCCTGATTGGGATACAAAAGAAGAAATTTATCTTCCTTCTAAACTGGGGGAGTGGGAAAGATACCAGTGTCATTCATTCAAATGGGCGACGAGTATTAAGAGTTGAAAGTGTACCTTTGAACAGCAGTTTGGATTTCTCCTTTCGTGAGAAAAACAAACCCCTCTTTGTTTAGGTCACACACAGAAAAGAGGTGAAAAATGTAGCGCACAATCCTAATATATCGGGACGAGATTCTAAGAAGATGGCCATGGTGGCAGTTTTTAATTTCCCTCAGTCCCCACAGAAAACCAGGCACTGCAAACAGATAGAAACCAAAGCCCCCTTTAACATACAACGGGGTGGCATAAGCCACAAAGGCAAGCAGGTAAAGACAAACCACCAACTGCCATAAGACGTACCTGGTAGCACCGTCCATGTGGGAGAAAGCAGAGGAAAGCAATGGACCTGAGAACCCCAAAATAGCCAAGAACGTTTACTGGAAAGCCATCCAGGCCAATCAGAATATAGCAGCTGAAACTGGAAGGGGGTTGGCCCAGTACAATAGCAGGTGAATGTGAGGATCTCAGAAGTTCCGAAAAGCACTGAAACAGTCTAGGACTTGAGTAATTTTCAAGCAAAGAAGGTACAGAGGAAAGAACCTTTCGCTGAGGAGAAACTGCCAGAAGTGAAATCCAACTTGAGCAGGACAGAAGCAATAGGGACGAGGAAAGAGAAGATCAGACTAGTGTAGGGGTGGGCCACTCAGAAAGCAAGTGTCCCCGTGTTTGAACACTTCGCAAAAGCAACAGAAGAGGGAGCTCTGGGGTGTTAGAAAAGTCCCGGGACCACTGTGAGCTCATCAGGAAAAAGAAGCTCCTATTCAGTCAAAACAAAATGGTATTAAGATTGAGTCTCAGCCAAGACTGGCTTGGCTCAGTGGATAGAGCGTCGGCCTGGGGACTGAAAGGTTCCAGGTTCGATTCTGGTCAAGGGCATGTACCTTGGTTGCGGGCACATCCCCAGTGGGAAGTGTGCAGGAGGCAGCTGGTTGATGTTTCTCTCTCATTGATGTTTCTGACTCTCTGTCTCTCTCCCTTCCTCTCTGTAAAAAATCAATAAAAATATATTTAAAAAAAAAAAAAGATTGAGTCTCATGTAAAGTTATTTTTAGAAAAAGAAGAATACGGAGCAAAACAATACCTCTACAGATAATGAAAATATACCAGGAATACAGTGACACACAAAATAGATCAAAATGTTAACATAGCATTTAACAAAGGGGTCTACAAATACTAGGATTTAAGTTATATAAAACAGCATAAATCAGAATTATACAAACTTGGAAATGAAGTAATATATGTAGGAAATAATTAGAAATAAAAGAAAAACTCTAAGTTTTGTTGAATAAGATATAGTCACAAGAAATGAGAAGTTTGGGAGAATTCTGGCACTGGAGAAATACTAGTATCCTATCCGTGGAAAAATATTAGCAACTGGAATCCAATAGTACATTAAAAATCGTATAGCCATGCCTGGTTTGCTCAGTGGTTAGAGTGTTGGCCTGTGGACCAAAGGGTCCTGGGTTTGATTCCTGGTCAAGGGCATATACCTCAGTTGCAAGTTCCTCACCCCCGGTAGGGTGCATGCAGGAGGCAACCAATCAATGTTTCTCTCTCTCTCTCTCTCTCTCTCTCTCTCTCTCTCTCTCTCTCTCTCTCTCTCTCTCTCCCCCTTCCTCCCTCCCTCCCTTTCTTTCTCTCTCTCCCCCTCCCCTCTTCCCTGCCTCCCACTCTTCCTAGAAATCAGTGGAAAAATATGCTCAGGTGAGAATTTTTTTTAAAAAAAGTATATATTGACCAAGGGAGTTATTGTCAGGAAAATAGGATGTTTTCAATAGTGTATGGCCCATATAACATTATATAGAGTAGATTATAAGGTAAGATGAACAAAATCAGAAAAAAAAAACACCTTGGAAATTAAAAAAATAATAATAATATTGGAGTAAGGAAGATAGAAAACCCAGGAGGTATAATAGAAAATATTTATTAATATGACTATAAACAAGCTATAAATTTCACCATGGCAAGAACACAAAGTCAAAGAGAAAAAGCAATATAAAAAATTATAGTTATAACACACAATGGGGAAAGGATACTTTTCTTCACTTACAAAGAGCTCCTAAAATTAATAGAACACTATCCAATAGAAAAGTGTATAAATAGCCAGATACCAGGAAAAGAAATATAAGGGGCCAATAAAGATATAAAAATCTGTTCAATGTTACTAAAAATGTAAATCAAACCAGTAACGAGGTAGCCACCTTTCACCTATACCATTTGCAAAGGGCGTGGGGAAATGGTGTTCTAATCACGCTCAATAAAGTAGACATTTATGCAAACTTTTTGGAGCATGGGAAATACTGTTTTTTCAATTGTAGCCAGAACACTGTCTCCCATCCCCTGTGATAATTTCAGCATAGCTTTGACTCTGCCCATCAAAAGGTGGGGTCTGTGTGCCTCCCCTGAAATCCAGGCAAAATTCTGCGTGAGAGTGACGGTGCATAACTTTGAGGCTGTCTCAGGAAAGATGATGCTGTGTCTGCCGTGGCAGTTGGAGTTCTTGCTCTTGAAGCCATCAGCCACCATGTGAATGCTCTGGCTGCCCTGAACCTGTGAGAACGCCCCAAACAGCTCACAGGGAGAGACCTCACAGAAACTGGCAATGTATTTCAAAATTGTAAATTTTAAGCAATGGAATTGTCCCTTTTACTTACAAAATTTACCATAGGTATTCCTACAGAAGTATGTTTATATGTCTGTATGTATGTATGAATATTACACATTGTTACACAATATTACATGTTACACAAACATATATGAATGTTCATGGCAGTACTGTCATGGCAAAAATACAAATTAAATATCCATCAGTAGGGAATTGGTTAAGTAACATTATAATACAGACCAAAATAGAATACTATATAGATGTTAAATAGGAAGTCAGCTGAAATGGACCTATACCTGAGATATCTTTAGTTTAACGAACAATGCATATAATAATAGGCATGGTATTATCATTTGTTTTGTAACTTAACTAGAGGCCTGAGGCATGAAATTCATGCAAGGGGCTCAGCCCTCGCTGCCCCGGCTTCATCCAGAAGGTCGTCCGGAAGGACGTCCAGAAGGTCGTTCATCTGTCCATTCTAATTAGCATATTATGCTTTTATTATTATAGAAAGATATACATATGTATGCTGATACACACCAATAAGCAGTACTTCTACTCCTCTATTAATAGCAGTTACCCTAGGGGAGAATGCTGACAGGTGAGGATGCATCAAAGAGGAAACATCTTTCCCTTTTCACTGTGTACCTTTAGAACTGTTTGTACATGGGTCTTCCCCCATGATAAGACAATATCTGGGAGATAGGATTATTAGGCCCTTATAATTTAGTGCACTTCTTTGTTTGAAAGAGTTTAATAAATGTTACTAAATTTTTAAAAATATATTTTTACTGATTTCTGAGAGTGGGTCAGGGACAGGGAGAGAGAGATAGAAACATCGATGAGAGAGAAACATCAGTCGGCTGCCTCCTACACCCCTGCCCCCTTACTGGGGATTGAGCCCGAAACCCTGGCATATGCGCTGACCAGGAATCAAACCATGACCTCCTGGTTCATGGGCCAATGCTCAAGCACTGAGCAACACTAGCCTGGCAAATATTACATTTTTAAACTTTTTGTTTTCTTCACATTTAAATTTTTTTTATAACATGTTACTTGTGTCATTAGAAAATAAAAAGCACCCAAGTCATACAGGCAATTTAAAATTTCCTAGTAGCCACATTACAAGTTAATCTACATTACAAACTAATCGACACTAAAAAAGAACCAATAAGCCCCGAGCTTCCTGGTTACTCTGCCTCTTATGTGGGTTTCCGTCTCTCTGCCTTTTGGCCTTTGCCTGCCAGCTCTGAGCAGAACCTCAGCCATCTCATGGCTTCCATGCAGTGGGTTTTGGAAAAAGCAAAAGCATCCCTCAGCTGTTTCACTACCCAGTTATGTCAGTCATTTGAAAAGAATCCTTGGATTCGTCTGGAATCAGCCACAGCTCACAGCACAATAGGCCAATGCAAGGAGTCACAGAGGCCAGCAGACCTGGAGATGGTCCATTGCACTCGGTAGGGTGTGGTCCAAGGAATCTGGTCCCTGGGGCCTGCCCCTCCAGTGTGACTTGCAAACTCATGTAGAGCTGACCTCTCCAGGTGTGACAAAGAGCCTGCTCATCCTGCCCACGCCTAGAGGCCTTTCATCCTCCATGCTGAGCTAGTTCATAATCTAATGAAATAAAAATAATAGTGGTAATATTAGTAGTATTAGTATTAGTAGTCGTATAGTATCAGTTACCATATACAATCTATGAGCACTTACTATGTGCCATTCTTTGGATAATTCTCATAGTAAACATTTGAGGTGGGTTATTACCTTCTCATTTCACAGAAGAGACTGAGGCTCAGAAAGGCTTAGTAATGTGCTCAAGACACACAAAGCTAATAAGATGAGTGGATCGCATCCAAACTGGGCTCTTTTCTGTCTACCACAGTAAGCGTACAAAGTAGACCCTGGCCAATGCCTTCAAATAGGGAGATGGTGCCAAGGTGGCGATGGTGACTCTCAAAGGAAGAAGGAATTACAGCTTCTGGGGAGGATAAGGAGACACTCAGTGCAGGCAGTGTGCCTAAGGCAGTGGGTGATCACCCGGAGAGGTGGCTCTGGGGAAGGGGCCATGGTAGAGGGCATTCTAGACCAGTGCCACCCAATAGCAATATAATGTGAGTCACACAGGCAATTTAAAATTTCCTAGTAGCCACATTAAAGAAGTAAACAGAAACAAGTGAAGTTATTTTAATAGTATATTTTATTTTATTTTAATATTTTTATTGATTTCAGAGAGGAAGAGAAAGGGAGAGATAGAAACATCAAGGATGAGAATGAATCATTGATCAGCTGCTTCCTGCACGCCTCACACTGGAGATTGAGCCCACAACCCAGTCAAGTGCCCTGACCAGGGATCGAACCATGACCTCCTAGTTCATAGGTCGACGCTCAACCACTGAGCCACGCGGGCTGGGCTTACCAGTATATTTTAACATAATATATCCAAATATTGTCATCTCAACATGTAATCAATATAAAATTATTAAGAGAGTTATGTTTCTCTTTTTCATACTAAGCCTTCCAACTATGATCTATATTTTTACATTCAGAGTACAGCTCAATGTGGACCGGTCAAGTGTAACTCAGCAGGCTACATGTGGGTTCACGGCACCAGAATGGCCAGCAGAGCTCTCCATGGAGGGACCAGCGAGAACCGAGCCAGGGGAATGAACAAGTTTGCAAGAGCAAATAGAAGGAGCTTCAAATTGAGGACAGACTGTTAGGAGTCAAGGGGACTGGGGGTGAAAACAATCAGCTGGAGATGTATTGTGCGGGCTCTTGAATGCCAGAGTGCAGTGTTTATAATTACTGAGGGGTTTTCTAATATTCTCTTCCAGGCCTGCATGAGGTCTCCCCTTGAGCCCTTTTCCCGGGGATCTGGTGATAGTCACATCAGAAGTCCACCTATGAATGGGTTAAAATCGCTTCCTTTGCAACACACCATCTTTTACTTCGTTTCATTTCCCCTAATTTATTAGCTTTTTGTCACAATGACCAGGGAAATCCATGTAACCTTGTGTCTCGCAGAGAAATCTGCCTGTAGGCCAGCCTAATGCACACCTGCCTGGCAAGGACTGTGCCCAGCCCTTTCCTCTCATCTTTTCCATTGGCCGAAGCCATTTTTTCACTTCGTCGTCTGTGGAGATTGTTTCTGCACGCATTCTCCCCTGCGGGCTTTCTGTGGTATGGAGAAGTACTTCCAGTCTCTAAGGCAGTTTCTGCTGGGTAATGAGGTTTCTCGGAGAGGCAGAATGACATGTAGAAAGTAAAACCTGAACGACGTTTCCAGCCACTTGAAATCATCAGTTGAATTTGGAGCCGCTTTGCTATACAGCTCACAGACAGTTTCCTTCTACTCTTTTTTAAATATGATTATCTATGCAAGACAATTGTGCATCCGGGAATCAAGATTACAGCTTTCTTCTCATTTCAACGATTTTTTTTTTTTTACAAGGAAAGGAGCCCTATAAAAATGATAAATTAGACAAGATGAAGAGTTACTGAGAAATTCTATGAACATTGGCAAAACTACCTATAAAATTAAGCCAAAAGAAGTCTGTCAAAGATATCTTGGAAGGGGCAACAAATTCTACGTTAAGAAAGTATTTTGATGCTTAAAAGGAAGAATTCCTCATTTGTCCTTTTTAAAACAAATTTTATATAGCATGTATTGAAAATCATGCACAAATCTAAAGAATACAGTTCAACAAATTATTATAAAATAAAAACTTATGAAACCACAAAGGAAGTGAAGACACAAACATTACCGATAGAACAAAAACCTCCCTCTTGTCCTCCCCCAAACATTATCCCTCTCTCTTTCCCCATCATTATTCTCCGCTCCCACATCACTACTGCCTCTTAACACCCAATATTCTGCCTGTATTTGAACTTTGTATAAACAGCTTCTTACGTTCAATAGTATCTGTGAGATCCATCTATGTTGCTGAGGGCCATTATAGTTCATTAAATTGCATCAATTTTTCATATTCATTTAGATATTCCACAATGTTTCATCCTTTCCACTACCGATGAACAGGTGGGGTTTTTTCCTCCTGGTTTTTTGTCATTATAATTAATTCTGCTACAAAAAAAGCCTTATATGTATCTTGGTGCACATTTGTACATACATCTTTTGGGTGTGTGCCCAGGATGAAGGAACTGGGTCATATTTAGTAAATCATATCAAACGTATTTCTCAAATGTTTGTATCAATTTACATTCTTATTATTAGTGTTTAGGAGTTACAGTTGTGTCATACCTTTGTCAGCACTTGGTATTGACCGTTTCTTAATTTTAGCCATTTTAGTAGTGTATAGAGATACCTCATTATAGTTTTAATTTGTATTCCCTGATTATTAATAATTCATCACATTTTCATATACTTATTAGCCCTTTGGATATTTTATTTGTAAGACACATGTTCAAATTTCTTGCTGACTGAGTCAGATATTTTTATTATTATCTACAAATGATATAATTATGTACATACAAAATACAAAAGAATCTATAGCTATACTAATTAGAATTTTAAAATAAACTTATCAAGGTCACTGAACCAATATTAAAAATTAACCACCTCTTTTTATATTAGTAACAAAAAATTGGAAAATGACATTTTAAAAATGATACCATTGACAATAACATTAAAAGTCTACTACCAAGAAACTGTCACAGCCAAGAGAAGTCTAAGAAGATATTACAAATCATTGCATTCTGAATGAGATTCCCGAACAAAAAACAAAAACAAAAAAAAAAAAACATTGGGTGAAAACTACTAAAATATGAAAAAAAAGTATTGACTTTAATTTTTTTTAAGTAGGGTATACAGGCAACTTATTTTCATCTTTTTCTTGGCCTCTAAATACTAGTCTATAATTAAATTTTTTATTCAAAGAAGATGGCCAGAAACCAATGAAAATAGAACAACTTTTTTCCTTAAATTGAGACTGCTCCTTTTTTAATCCTTCCCCGAGGGCATGCTTAGAGAGAGGAAAGCGGGAAGAGGGAGAGAGAGAAACATCGATTGGTTGCCTTCCATAAATGCCCTGACCAGAAAGCGAACCTGCAATCCAGGCATGTACCCTGACTAGGAAGCGAACCCTCAACCTTTCAGGGCCCAGGATGATGCTCAACCAGCTGAGCCATCCAGCCGCGAGAGGCTGATTATTTTCACCTTGATCACCAATGGGGTTTTGTAAGTGAGCAGGGAACACTGAAGCCATGGGAAGTCAGACTCTGCAGCAGGAGGCTGCCAAGGCCAGCCTTCTCCTGAGAAACACACATTCATGTACTGAATAAATATTTGCTTAGCAAATTATTTGTTAATCATGTCATAAAGGAAAACAGTGAATCTGAAACAGGCCAAGCCTCTCTCAGATGGATGGGAATGTCCTTCAGTTACTTCTTGAGCCTCTGCTAGCTAACATTAGGTTCCCCTCAGGCACCCCCACACCAACGCTCCAGCCCCTGCACCTGCCCGTCAATGGCAGCCCATCATGGGAACCTGGAGAACAAAAGACCCACTGCACCTGTGCAAAGACACCCAGCGCCCTGTCAGCCAGCCCCCAGGAGCGTTTCAGGGAGCCATACTCTGCCAGGGTGTGCCCCTGCTGCATCCCACTCCTTCCCCTTCCCTCTTCCTCCCACCCTGTTTTTAGTAAACTGCTTCTCTTCTGAATCTGCTTTGCCTCCTCTCTTGATTTCAATCCTGAGGAGGGGAGCAAAAACGCCTCTGTCGGTGACAAATCTTGCCATCTTATAGGGCTATTATAAAACTGTTTTTTTCAATAATAAAGTTTTACTGTTAGCTTGATTTTATGTCTTACACATTCTTCCTGAGGTTTATTCCAATGTATTTTATGGCTTATTACTTGAGGCCCGGTGCACGAAATTCGTGTACAGGTAGGGTCCCTAGGCCTGACCAGCGATCAGGGCCAATCGGGGCCTTCTGGCTGCTGACCAGGGCCTTCCTTCATTCCGCACCGCCCCCTGGTGGTCAGTGCACATCATAGCAAGCAATCAAACTCCCAGTCTCCTAGTCAAACTCCCAAGGGGAAACTTTGCATGTTAGCCTTTTATATATATATACTAGAGGCCCGGTGCACAAAAATTTGTGCACTCGGGGGGAAGGGAGGTCCCTCAGCCCGGCCTGTGCCCTCTCGCAGTCTGGGACCCCTCGGGAGATAACGACCTGCTGGCTTAGGCCTGCTCCCAGGTGGCAGAGGGCAGGCCCAATCCCTAGGTACAGCCCCTGGTTGGGCTCAGAGCAGGGCCGATTGGGGAGTTGGGGCGCCGCCCCCTGTCATGCACAGAGCAGGGCAGATTGAGAGGTTGTGATGCCACTCTCAGTCACGCTCAGGGTAGGGCCGATTGGGGGGTTGGGGCACCGTCCCCTGTCACACTCAAGGCAGGGTCGATGGGGAGGTTGCGCGCGCCACTCTCACACTCAGGGCAGGGCCGATGGGGAGGTTATGGCTCTACCCCATCACACACAGAGCAGGGCCCGTGGGGGTTGGGGGGTTGGGGAGCTCCCCCCTATCAGGCACAGAGCAGGGCTGCTCAGGGGGTTGTGGCCCCGCCCCCTGTCACACACAGAGCCGCAGGGCAATCAGGGGGTTTGGGCGCTGCCCCCTGTCACGCTGATCCCGGTGCTGGGAGGCATATTACCCTTTTACTATATAGGGTAGAGGCCTGGTGCATGGGTGGGGTCGGCTGGTTTGCCCTGAAGGGTGTCCTGGATCAGGGTGGGGGTCCCCACTGGGGTGCCTGGCCAGTCTGGGTGAGGGGCTGAGGGCTGTTTTCAGGCTGGGAGTGACTGAAGTTCCCAACCGCTCCTTTTTTTCTTTTTTCTTTTTTTATTCTGGGCCAGCTTTACCTTGAGGCTTGGCTCCAGCTCTTAGGCCTCCGCGGCTAAAAGTAGGTTTCTGGCCTTTGCTTACAATGTTGCGAATCTGCTGGCTGAAGCCCGGAGGTATTTGTTACAATGTTTCTTAAACTGTCCGCTCAGAGGCCTGCAGCCGCAGGCGGGGAACGTTGGTTTCCTCCAACGATCCTCCGTCACTGAGGCAAGCAAGCCTCATGTTAGTTTCAAGCTGCCTGGCTGCCGGCCGCCATCTTGGCTGACAGTTAATTTGCATATCTCGTTGATTAGCCAATGAAAAGGGTAGCGGTCATACACCAATTACCATGTTTCTCTTTTATTAGTGTAGATTATTGCTGCAATTATGGATGAAATTATATTTTTCATTACATTTTCTAATTTTGAATAGGATTAACTTTTATTACATTTTTATATTTATATGTACACAGTTTATATGTATAAAAGTTACTAATTTTGATTTTGTATCTGGCCAAATTTGTAAATGTTATGTCTAAAAGTTCTTTGTTAATTTGTCAGATCTTTAAATAAATAAACAAATACATCATATACAAGTAAAAAAATTTAAAGGACTAAAACTATTAAATGGAATGATAATATGGAGCAACAAGGACTCTCAGTCACTGCTGTTGGGCATGTAAATCTATACAACTGCTTTGAAAACATTATGGTATCGTTTAGTGAAACTGAAAATATGCATAGTCTATGGTGCACTAAGTCCACTCTTAGCAATTACTCTGGAGAAAAATCATGTAGATACACATCAAGATGTATGTACAAGAATAGTCATAGCAGCACTATTCATAATAGTCCCAAACTAGGAACAGCCCAAATATCCCTGAAAAGTTTTATGGAAAAATATATTGTAGTCTATGTATGTAAGTAATAAGATCATCTGTAATAAAAATGAAGAACCACACTACATACACAAATGGGGAAAAGTCTCACAAACATATTGGTGAGTGAAAGAATGCATATTCCATTTATATAAAGTTGAAAGCAAGCAAAACTAGACTGTATGTTTTGGTATAAAATTATAAAGTGAGGAAGTGATCACCATAAAATTCAGGATAGTGGTTACCTTTAGTGAGAAGGGATGGAGTTATGTCCAATCAAGATGAACCCCAAAAGACCCACATAAAGGCACATCATAATAAAAATGGCAAACATTGAAGACAAAGAAAGAATCCTAAAGGCTGCAAGAGAGAGACAGTTACCTACAAGGGAGCTCACATTAGAACAGTGGTTCTCAACCTTGGCTGCACATTAGAATCACCTGGGAATCTTGTTAAAATCCTGATTTCTGGGAGGATGAGACCCAGAAATCAGGATTTTAATAAGATTCCCAGGTGATTCTAATGTGCAGCCCAAGTTGAGAACCACTGCATTAGAACGTCATCAGAGTTCTCAATAGAAACACTTCAGGCCAGAGGGAGTGGCATGAAGTATACAAAGTAATAAAAAGCAAGGGACCGAATCCAAGACTACTCTGTCCAGCAAGGCTACCATTCAGAATTAAAGGTGAAATAAAGAGCTTCACAGACAAAAAAAAAAAAAAAAAAAAAAACTAAAGGAATTTATTACCACTGTAAGAAATGCTAAAGGGACTTCTTACTGTAAAGAAGAAGGAGGAGGAGGAGGAGGAGGAGGAGGAGGAGGAGGAGGAGGAGGAGGAGGAGGAGGAGGAGGAGGAGGAGGAGGAGGAAGAGAGAAAGGGAGAGAGAGAATGGAGGCATAGGCATAAAGAATAAAAATGGTGTCCTAGCTGGTTTGGCTCAATGGATAGAGCATCGGCCTGTGGACTGAAGGGTCCCAGGTTTGATTCTGGCCAAGGGCACATGCCTGGGTTGCGGGCTCAATCCCCATTAGGGGGCGTGCAGGAGGCAGCCAATCAATGGTTCTCTCTCACTGATGTTTCTATCTCTCTCTCCCTCTCCCTTCCTCTCTAAAATCAATTAAAAAAAACAAAAATAAATTTAAAAAAGAATAAAAATGGCAACAAATAAGTACCTATCAATAATAACTTTAAGGTCGGGACGGCCCCGGTGAGGTTGAAACAGCCCCGGTGATGCCAAGAGGGCCTCGGTGAGGTCGGGACGGCCCCAGTGAGGTTGAAACGGCCCCGGTGATGCCGAGAGGGCCTCGGTGAGGTCGGGATGCCCATGATGCCCCAGTGAGTGTTGAATGATGAAACGGCCCCGGTGAGCCCGAGAGGGCCTCGGTGAGGTCAGGAAGGCCCCAGTGAGGTTGAATGACAACGGCCCCGGTGAGGCGAGGACGCCCCCGTGAGTTGGGACGGCCCCAGTGAGGTTGGACAGCCCCGGTGAGGTTGAGACGGCCCCGGTGAGGTAAGGACGGCCCCATTGAGTTGAACAGCCCCAGTGCTTGCCGAGAGGGCCCGGTGAGGTGGGACGGCCCCCCCAGTGAGATTGAAACAGCCCCAGTGAGGCCGAGATGGCCCCGGTGAGGTCGGGACGGCCCCGGTGAGGTTGAAACAGCCCCGGTGAGGCTGAGACGGCCCCAGTGAGGTTGGGATGGCCCCAGTGAGGCTGAAACGACCCTGGCGGTGTATGGCACC